CAGTTTTTGTAGAAGGCAAAACGGCATGAATAATTACAATACAGGTCAGATTGTGTACAGGTCAAGGTCACAAATAGTGGGTAGGGAGATGCGAAAGTGTGGGTAAGAAAGATTAAAAAAACAAAGCAAAGAAGGGACTGAAAATATTATGAAGTAAATTGGTCCTTGGTTCTAAATTGGATTACCAAGGCAGGTTTAAAGTAATAACACTAATAAATTTTGGACACAAGACAAGTTTAAGTCTTTTTATGGCTAAGGCTTCAACGAATTTAAGTATATGGCCCAACCTTGTTTTATATATGGGCTTAAAGGCATTGTTGAAATCAACCTATCTCTATAATGTGCTTCGCTATAGATGATGTTGGACATCTATTTCCGGGGTCACTTGTGTCTGGCGATTTCATTTGTTGTTGCAGCCACTTTGGAATGTGTTCTGTAGCCCTAACCTGCAAAGACCGATGGGTCCTCCCCATGTACGTGACTCCACACATACATGTAAATTGATAAACTCAGTGAGATGTGACACTATCGTTCGGATAATATGAAGGTTTACAGAACAGCATAGTTTTCGTTTTCTCTATGAAGATAAGTTTAGCTGCATAACAGATTCTACTAATTGCGGTTTTGAGTCTTTGTCTAGTGACCAGACTTTTTTGATCACCTCTGAACGGCAAGGAAATGTAAACATCCTTTTTGGGAGCTGATTAGATTGGTAGAGCTCTATGATTGACACTTCCATAACGCCTAATAAATCTCAGTGGGTAATTGTTATCTAACAATATTTCAGTGAGGTGTTGTCTTTCTTCTTCAGTTGTATCGGCAGTACATATACGGTGAATGCGCTTGAACAAACATTTAACCAACGCCTTTTTACACTGAAGTGGACAGAAACTATGATAATTTAGATACTGTCCCGTCCATGTGGACTTTCTACAGACAGATCGTTTTACTGACCCATCTTCTCGGCGGGTTATGAGTACATCTAAAAATGGTAGGCAACCATTATTCTCTTTAACGTATGTTAGCGATATACTTGTTTGTGTTCTGTTGATCTGGTTCAGGAATTCTATGGCATCTGTCGGTTTATCACAAATGACTATTATGTTATCTACATATCTCTTATAAAAATAAACTTTTCCGATTTCTTCCTCCACTAGGTTCTCAACATGCAACATATATATATATCAGCTAACAATGAATCTAGGGGACTTCCCATAGCAACACCATCGATCTAGCGATAATGCTCGCCCTCGAATGTAAACTTAACATAGAAGCAGTAACTCTTTTAAATAAGATATGGACACCGGTAATAGGACCTGTATTGTAATTATTCATGTCTTCTTGCCTTCTATAAAAACTGTGTATGACAAGTACGTGTGTGATCAGAATCTCCAAAATGTGTTGCACAAATACATTCCACGTTTCAGATAAACTACGTCTTCTTATTGTGTTGTCGAAATAAATAAGATGATATAATTATATTTCGTAAGTATCATGTTAGCTGCATACAAACTATAATATCTTAAGTATATGCATATAGAATTTTATAACGTACGGTGTTATCGTTTCAATTACCCTATAAATTACGTTGTATGCGGCTGACTAGCAACTAACCGAAATAATGATAATAATAATAATAACATCGCGTTATTCTGCTCCAACAAGTGTGTCATTATTATTATTACTCAATGAGAGAGATTTGCATGGAATTCAACCGCACACAGGCGTTAAATACACAGTACCTAGGTCACTGAGAATGTTATTGTACAAGTGTATATATACATATCGCATAAAATACCCTGAAATTCCATAATGAATAACATGTATATGCATACATATCGCAAATTTTAGAACATTCGAATGATCATGAATTTATTGCCTTACCTCAAGTACATATTAAATAATGTGTGTAATTTACTCAAACATTAACTCCTAATCAATGATATTCAATTCTATCCAATATTAGTGTAAAAGCTATACATTTATATATATATATATATACATATATATATATATATATATATATATATATATATATATATAATTCTAGATATTTCCAAGTTTAATATTAACGAAAATATAAATTACAACTGGTAATTTAGTTAATAGATAACACTATTACTATTAAGCATAAATGTTTGAACGTGATACCAGTTCTAGAGAGAGAGAGAGAGAGAGAGAAGGAAAATTCGCCTTTAACCACAGTGGGTAATTTCTTAAACCATGCAATAAAGCACACAAGCGTTAATAATACAAACTGATTCCCTGAAAAAGTTCCGACCAGATTGCCGAACGAAACGTTGAAATTAATCATTTCAATTTCGCTGAGATTTTACAAATATAATTTTTTACAAGTGTCTGATTATCTAAACCTTAGTAGGTGGAAAAGGATTCAAATTCATGATTCACTTGATTTATTAAAATTATTTCAAACTTGCTGTTGATGGAGTTTACTGCACTGGTCTCGAGTGACATGTCTATACCCTAGTGCGACAATGATCAAAGTTAATTAGCTACTATTTCATTGACAGTGGGTAAAGCAGGTGGAGAGTTTCATTGTTTTGAGGATTTGTCAGTCAGACGTACCTGCATCCACAGTAGGCGAAGGTGTTCCCATCGTGGCTCGGACAATAAGCGTTGAATCCAAGCGTTGGTGGAAAAACCATCACATCCAACTAACCAGTCCTGAATGCTATGAGACACGCATTCTGCATTCAACTGCTAGCTACCGTTAACCAGACAACTTATGATTCACTTACTGAAAGTCAGGTGCATAGACAAGTAAATAACAATAGTCTGTGGACTCCGATTTCATGCAAGATGAGTACACAACCTTGGCACTTAAAACCTGTCTCATTCGGCATCTAAGTTAGAAATATTGTTAAGACTAAAAATAGGTGACTTGTAAAAATACAACCTTTTTATTTTATTGAAATTTTCTTTGTTTATTCAGCCTAACATTGACTTGTATACTAGCCTACACATATATTCGTTTACTCCTCTTCCTTATTATTGCTACAAAAATTCAATTACATTAACTTTATAACCCGAAAGAGTAAAATTCATATCAAGATAATAATAGCAAGGATTCACTATTCATCGCCACTGAGCAAAACTCCCTAAGATACTTAAATTAGATAATTTTGAGTTATATGCATGTATGTTGTCACATGTATGCTTCTTTCGAATTGCACTCTAGTTGAGTTGTTACCCATTAGTCTGAGCGCTCTCCCTGATCTTGTGAGTGAGGCGTTCGAAGGCCGCTGCGCCCACCGACGTTTGGACGGCCAGGCAGTATCACTAGACCTCACACAGTAGGTGTGACTAATTACCAAATTATTGGAATCGCAATCGGATGGTGAGTGTCTCCTCCTAATCCTAGCTAACTGACCCCGATCTTACCACTCACTTACACCTTCGTGATTATAAAACTCACAGATCATTCGGATTTAATGATTTGACATTACAAAAGGATTGTTATTTTTCACAAATAATTATTCCTTAATTATTTTGGACATGAGAATGTGGAATATGTAGAAGAAACTAACGGAGAAAAAGATTTTTTCCTATTCACTAATCAATAATTTTAACTTACAGCTAAACTGAAACATGTTGCAGATAATTCACATTGATGAATATACAGGCGTAAAATGTTTGTGTCAATGGCTTTCTAGTAGCTGAGTCAAAATACACCCTAACACTAATTCACTACTTTAAAGTAAACATATTGCTTAGATGTTGACTAGCCGGGACAGAAGTTTTACACACCAAGCTATGAGCTACACTAACTATATGAGGGCTGATGGCACCGCCAAGTTACCTAGACTGGAGTAAGTGGAGAGAGACTCGAACTCAGGACTCATTGGCTGAGTGCTTAAAACAATTGAGAGCATCTTCACTCTTATCATATCTAAATTAAATTCAGATTATCAGCTGTAGGTTCTGGAATGCGACTATGAGATATTTTAGTATCTGAGCCAACAGAGGAAAAAAGTATTATGAGTGCCCAATTTCTCCATATTTGTTTAATTACATCATAGATGTACTAAATGACATGGAGTCTTCCGAACACCAGAAGTAGAAATCTTTGAATGTTTGGCAGACGATTCACCCCTGCCAAATTCAAGATGATGATGCAGGACTGGTGTGCACTGTCTGCCTGTCTGGATTCAACATAGAACTAGGCACCAAAGTGCGGCAGTTCGAGTTGCCATGTTCCAAATAGCACACAAAGGTAGACAAGAAGATGAGTGAAGAGAATCAATAGAGTTTTGACAAGTATAAGAGTGAAACAGAATGAGTAATGGTAGAAAGGAATATGAAAGATTACAGAGACTGAATACATCTGCGCCATTGACAACGATTTTGAGCCGTGGTGTGCACTGACTACTAGTTTAGAGAAAGACAGTGTAATGGTTTATAGTACTGACCACTCCACTTATTTGGGAAGTTTTATCAACCCTAATCAACTAGTTGCTGACTAAGTCTCGCCACGTATACAAAAGGCTCGTGTGGTATTTGACAACCTACATCATCGCTTACGTATATACGATATCCAGCTACCGATTAAAGGACATGTGTACTGCCCAGCAGTTCACTCTGTCCTTCTTTATGATTGTTAAATATGGAAAAGAAGCTAGGTGTCTGAGTTCTCTCTCGTGCTAAGTGGGATAAGATGGCAATACGATACGATTATGAGGAATAACTTGTTCTCGAAACGTCATGTGGCTATTATTACTGTGTTACCGTATGTTATATCGAATTAAACTATCTAATATGGGGTCGATATTGTATCGTCTGAGAAGCGGCACCCAGCTACTTAAAATGTCTTGATTCTTCTAGGTGTTTCGAAATGTTTCATGAAACGGACTCTCATTCTGAATCCACACATTTTAATAAAAGGATATACTTCACCAGACTAAAACTGTATTACATTGTGTAATTTAATTCCGCTATTTTTATTAGATCAAAAAGAGTTACGGAGTTATAAACAAACTTACCAAACTTTGGGATCACAGCTAATCGAACATACACTGCGACATGAGTAGCCCTGTTAAGAATATATAAATAATGCTCTACTTGAGAACCGCGTAGTCCCAGTAAACGGAATGTTCTTTGAATACCTGATTGGTATATTTGATTAAAAATATTTGAAGGTTGACCACCAGCATTTAAAGAAGCATCTTCTTTACTGTCAGATTTATTTTCAGTCAAAATTCCAAATGCTTTAGGTTGATCTAGATTAGAAAGACTGAGTGGTACGGCTCCAGCACTAGCATCAACAATGACTGGACATAAAGATGAATCAGATATCATTTCACTGAGCAAATCATTGTTTGAAGGTGATTCTGATGCTTCTTTTAAATTTGGGCTGCTCCTCTTAGACTCCGATATATTTCCAAGTGATGGGGCGATCGGTGTAACAATCCTGCATTCTTCTAATATAAAGTCTATACTAGTCATTTCGTCCATAACAGGGAGTCTGTATCAACAAGTAGGACAATAAAAACTATTTGTAAGATGTTTTATAAGTATACAAACATAAGGCATATCTGCTCCAATTTACGAATAGTAACAAGAGTAAAAATAAACATCACAAACCAAATAAATAATTAATTGGTTCTATGCCTAGCGCCTTCCCACAAACCCTACTATGAATACTTTATAGCTGGTTAACTCTGATCCAACTGACGAAGTGAATGTTTGAAAGGAACTCTGAACACTCGAGAACCATAAGGCATCTTCTCCGGACAACTTACCCTCGGGTATTTTTTACAGAACTGACTAAACTAAACTTATGAGTAATTTAGTGTTAAACGATAGCACTGTACCTATCTTGAAAAAGGTCTAGGTAACGCAAGTGATGATCATTGGGGTATTAGTGTGTTACCAGCTGCGTCTACAATAATAATTGCTATCGCACTTCATAGACTTAAAAAAACGCATGAAGAATTGATTCACTGGGGGAAGGGGGCAGTCTGATCTTCATTTACATTCTGGATACATTTATCACGTGTCGGAACACCATTACACCTATTTTAGGCTAACAATCATTACATTCCTTGATATTGGGGCTGCTTTCGACTCCTAAGATAGACCTTTTCGTTGGAATGACATATTGTGATTTTCACCCTCCTCTTTCTGTTTCAATGTTTACATGTTTCCACTTTGTTGTTCCTCAACTACTTTACTTCTCTTTCCCTTGTATTGTTTTAATAGTTTGTGTAGCGCGTCTGTTAGTGTTCATATTGCATCGAAGTTGTTTTAAACATAAAAACGGCTAACATTTACCTAGATAGGCGAATTTATACGTTTCTTTTAATTATTCTTAATTCACAACCATGAGCCAGCCCTTACCCAGTAGGTGAATTTTTTGGGCCTGGAATATGTGGGTGAAAACGTGGACAGTTTTCCGTTCGAAATTGGACAAAGTGGAAAAAAGTGGGCTGTGTTCGGTTGTAACATGGGTAAAGTGGGCAAAGTGTTCGTTGAAAAAGTGAGTAAACTGGGAAACATTGGCCAATATGGGTAGAATGGATTGATTATGTGACATTTTAACTCTCTTTTTCCCGTCTTTGCCGATCAAGATCACCCGTTTAGTCAGTGTTTTGCCCACATTACCCAGGTGCATTCTCTGACTTGGTCTGCACTAATACTCAATCATTTGCCAACAGCTACTGTTTAATTATTGCCCCAGTGAATCGTTTCCCACTATTTCTACTGCACTTACTATTATAGTGTCTAGGTAACTTCTATAATCACTGAATACACTTTTGCAAGGTATGTGTTCTACCCAAGTATGAAAATCCCATCTCTAATGTGTCTGTTACCATGTAACCAGTTGTTAGGTTTGCAAGGATTCGACTGAATTTAAGATAGACCTCATGACAGAACCTATGCCTTGCTCTTATTAAATTTAAAAAACATGTGAAGTAATATTATGTCAAAGGTCTTTTGGTTATCTTTTCAATCCTATGAGAGCAAACCAGAGACCTACTTTTAGCTCTGTGGAAAACATGACTTAGTTGTGATAAGTCAGTACACCTTCGAACTCCTAGACTTCCAAAGCCTATCAGGAAAGCTGATCTTCAATAAATCATTTAATTATCCCTTACATCTTCGTTTTACAATCACAGCAAACTATTCTCCCCGCCTTTTCATCAAATAGGATGAACAAGTCACACTTCAGTGAAAATAGTAGCATTTAGCGGTTTTAATGCTTTTAGAAATAAAATGTACCTAAAAGGATCTCTAGACATCAGACTAAGTAACATGCTTATTGCTATGACTTTTTTTCCTACAGTGTTACTATCCCCTTTTGTAACAAATAAGCTTTTAAACATTTTTCATGCGAATAAACAAGTATAAGGAGAAGTGAAAATCAGACAGTTAAAGCTCAACTAGACGTTCAATCTTACTGGAAATTCCTCACTCAGCTTTTTAAAAGACCGGAAGAACAAATACAAAATAAAATTCCGCATGACCAATAGGAAGCTTCTGAAAACCAACGGTTTGGAACTACAGAGTGAGGCAATTTTTATACGCCTCTGTCGACAATAACTTAAGTATCTTGATGAAATTACATTTTATAAATTACACTTATAAAAGAATGCACTATTCATTTGATTTTTCTCAAGTGAAGTTACAATTGCTTTGGTGTAAACGGTTGATTTTTAACTAAGGAATCTCAAGTTCAGACCCTGCTACGTCCTGTTATTAGACTGGCACAATACGGATGACTCAACACTGGCAGCACGAAAATGTATATAGTTACATTTCATTACATTTTGTACTTCTTCCCAAAGACTCAAATCATATGGTCTACTGAAACTTTTACTTCATTTCTACAGCTTCATTGACTTGACATCTAATTTTGTAGAGTATCTTCATATACTTTATGCAGGACTTACACCCTTCAAGTGAAGTACAGTGTATTTAACAAAACAAGGTATTCAGAAGTAAGTTTTCCGACTAATTTGAGACTAATCATCTCTGGTCAATTATGACCAGTGTCCACTGGATACAACAACTGAAATGCTAATTATCTTACGAAACAACAGAAAGACTTTTTATAATTATTCTACCTTTGAGATTTAGAAATCTATTTAATAAGCCATCTGCAAATGCCTTTAAAATAAACTGAGAAAAAACAGAGAAAAATAATATACAATACAAAATTTTTGATGGGTAGAGCAAAATCTAGAAAACAATTCTCTAGATGCGCTTGCTCACGATGTAACGTCAAAGACGTCTTAATTGCTTTAACGAAACTTTACCATTGGACTTTAGATGAAAATCGAATAAACAATAAAAGACTTACGTGTACAACCGATTTTCCATAGGAGACAGCTCTAAATCAAATGGTGAAATTATGAATATATTCCCTGAATCTTGTGAGCCACTATTCATTGGTTCATTTGAAGGGCTAGGAAGTACTATGGAACTACCATGTTTTGGTTGGTCTGCTGTTGAATGAATGGCTGAACGATAAAGTGGTTTGCGTCGTTTTTTCCTGTGGAACAGCCTTTTGCTGACGTGTGAATCGAGTGTTGATTGACTAGGAAAGTTAGTGGAGCTTTCACCGACTGGTTTTTCAAAAGTAGTAGAGTAGTTGAGTTTTGATAGAATATTCTCACTGTATGATATATATCCGTCAATACTGGAAATATCATGTCTGACAGTAGGTAATAACCACGCTATACATTCTTTCTACAAAAAAGTACATGAAGAATGTTTTATGTTTGAATATTACAAAAAGTTTTGACCTTAACTCAAAGTAGAAACATATGTTGGGAGCATAAATGGATGCATTTGTTCATTAATCTATCATTATGACCTTATCCCCGAAAAAAATAATGAAAACCAATGATTATATTTATACAAAACATAAAAGGGGTAGGAATAAAAAAAGTGGGCATTATTCTTTTGACACTCAATCATGCGAAAGACGCAATGCCGACGCAATAAAAATTTATCAATACATCGACTTATATTTCAGTCAAAAGATTCATGGTGAGTGGTTCTTGTTGCCTGGAAAAACTCAGGCAGCCCTTTCAAGGGGCGCTGTTGAAATTCTACATATCCATAAAAACCCATTTTAAAATTACCATAGACCTATTTGTTTTTTATAAATATTTATGAAAGATGATTTTAACAAAGATTAAACGGAGAAACTAAGCTTACCTGAAGTGATATAGTCATATAAACTCCAACATACCACAACCCATACTTTGGGGATTTAATATCTATTTCAGCATTTGCTGCATTTCGTAAGTTAGTTGACTTAATATAAAAGAAGGAGTATGTGCCACAGTCATCAGCAGCAAACGTTTGGTTAAAAGGTTTACTAGCAGGTACACTGACTGTATAAGAGTTACCAGGGCTAACAACACCGTTTGGCAGTGAAACATTAAACGGTCTAACCACAGGAAGAGAACCAGCACGTAGTGTACTAAAGGAGATAGAGTCATGAAAACGAAATTTTGGACTAACAAGATGATATCTTCGGGCACGCAATCATGAAAATTTGCGGATATAGACAGCTTGCTACTGAATGTGTGATGTGGTACAGAAAAGTGAAAATAGAGAATGTCATTTGTAGACATAAATCCACGTAGAGCGAAATGCGGAAGTTTTTCTGTGTGTGTAACTACAGAACCTAAAATTATTAACGATTATATTGCCTCACCTGTAAGACTTGAAGGTAAGGACAATTTAATCAGAAAAGAAATGTAAAATAACACCATCTCGGAGCGTTATCCTACTAATAAAACTGAAGGACGCGCCATTATTTTCAAGGTAGCCAAATATTACATCGATCAACAAAAACAATGATCTTTGTTCTGGGGATAAACCAGAGATAAAGAAGAAACATTATCCTATTCTACTTTCGGAAAAATCATTTTGGTCAAATCTGAGCAAACGCAGTCTTATAAACCTGTAGCACTTCGCACAAAAAGCTAGCTAGTCGAATTATTTAAAAGTCTATCGGGCTTTCCATTACCTTCGAAACTGGTAGGAATAATTTTATTGACACATTGCAAGCGATACTTTGTTGATGGCTGCTTACGAAAATGGTAAAGAAAATTTCTCTCTCCCACTCTTTGGCATGGCTGTGACTCTGTTAGACATTGGAATCAGTCCAAATATGGTTTCTAAGCTTACAAACTGTCTAATATTATTACTTTCCACTTACAGTATGTGGGTTTTCATGACTTTTTCTGAGTCAACAGAGGGTATACATATTCTCTGAGTGATACTGTCAGTTCCCAATAGCAATGTATGCATTGTCGCCCTACTGAATTCCTTTTTCTGCACTCGAGGCACTTTATTCGCCTTGCTTTCAGCAAACACCTACTGTTTGCTCTTAATGGATAATGTCCACTATCTAAATCACCCATCACCTAAATAACGGCACCTGAAATCTTTGCATAATCAGTTAGATTAACCAGTTCCTAGCATTCACAGATTGACAGTGATTTAAAGTCCTGAGACTAAATTTCATCGAACAGGTGTTCATTCGTTTCGTAAGATACTGTAGCTGACAAAATCATATGGCATAGAAGTTCAGATACTGACAATATTAAACGCCACAATATATTCGGAAGTTTAATCTTAAGTTGTTGCATCTTGCCTAAAGAAATCACTAAGGATATGTCAGCAATACATAACCGAGTTTAATATTCATAGTTTTTTTTTTGCTTGATCCCGAGGCTGACCGGCAGCTTAACCGGACTTCTACTGGTATGACTGTGGCGACGGTATCAGTAGAAGATAACTTGGGTCGTCACACCGCTCCTTGAGTAGCTCCGTTGACAGTAGCAGCGGACGCCAACGAAATTTTTCAAACCTCACAACCTACTGATACATTGGTGACGGTATCAGTGGGGGCTGGACTTAGTCGCCATCATCCATCAATCCAAACCCATGAACCCAACAAATCCAAGAAATATCATGCCGGATCGGCCGTGGCCCGGATTAACAACGACCGCGCTTTCTGCTGCCGTGTCACAGGGCAGAAGTGATAAGTACACTACTGAGACACACCAGGCCGCGTGTGACCGGCCTCAAGCAGATGTCCCCTGGGCTCTGCGGTCACGCAACACTAACCTTTCTTCCATTTCAGGTACCCGAAGACGAAACTCAGGCGTGAGGCCAGCAACCCCACCCTGTAAACAAACCTGCTACAGAAACTTCACCATGAGCAATCTCCTTGCGACAAAAGAAAAAGTCTGTGTGGGGACATGGAATGTCCGCACTATGTACGAGACTGGCAAAGCTGCCCAGATCGCCAGCGAGATGAAAAGATACAGAATCCAAGTGCTGGGAATATGTGAAAGCAGATGGAATGGAAGTGGACTCACCAAATTATCAACGGGAGAGTCAGTGATCTACTCCGGTCACCCAGAAGATAACCACACGCACACCGAGGGCGTGGCTATTATGATGTCACCAACGGCAACGAAAGCCCTGATGCAATGGGAAGCGATCTCGTCCAGGATAATGACCGCCAGATTCAACTCCAAAGGAAGAAAAGTGTCAATAATCCAATGTTATGCACCCACCAACAACGCAGACCTCGAAACGAAAGAAGAATTTTACAGACAACTACAGGCAGCAATAGACAATACTCCAGCTGGCGACATTAAAATACTAATGGGAGATATGAACGCCAAACTGGGACCAGACAATACAGGAAGAGAACTCATCATGGGTAGAGAAGCTCTTGGAGAAATGAATGAAAACGGAGAACACTTCGCCGAATTCTGCGCCTTCAACGAACTAGTGATTGGTGGCAGTGTTTACAAGCACAGAGATATCCACAAGGCTACATGGGTGTCACCAGACGGGCGAACCAAAAACCAAATTGACTTTATCACAATATCGAGGAAGTGGAGACGCAGCCTACTGGACACAAGAGCAAGAAGAGGAGCAGACGTTGGCTCAGACCACTACCTCGTACAAGGGACAATCCAAATCAAATTAAAAGCTTTCAGGGAAACAGGAGCTGCAGATAGACCACAAGCCAAGTTCAACACTCAAAAGCTGAAGGACCAGGCTACAAAGGACATCTTCATTGAAAACATAAGGGAAAAAGCCGAGACACAAATCAATACCAACGAAAAGGTCAGCGTCGAAAAGCACTGGAACAAATTGAAAACGGTGTGGAGTCAAACCTGCATGGAAGTCCTAGGCAGAAAAAAGAGACAGGACAAACAGTGGCTCTCTACGGACACTTGGAAACTAATAGAAGAGAGAAGGGTGGCGAAACAAAAGATTATCCAGTGCACCGACGAGCAACAGAAACAGGAGTTGAGTGCAAGCTACAATGCACTGAACAAAAGAGTGAAGAAAAGTGCCAGGGAAGACAAAAGAAAATATTGTGAAACCATGGCAAACGAAGCAGAACAAGCTGCAGGCAAAGGAGACCTCGCTACACTATACCAAACAACTAGGCACCTTTCGGGCAAAAGTTCGACACAGATTAAGCCAATAAAGGACGACAATGGAAAGTCAATCACCAAAGAGGTGGAACAGAGGAAGCACTGGGCTGAACACTTCAAAAGACTTCTAAATCGTCCGCCACCTACAACGCCTCCAACAATACCAACAACGGAAGCAGAACTACCAATGAACATCGACCCTCCGACGAAATCCGAAGTCCTGAATGCCATCAAGATGCTAAAAGCTGGGAAAGCGCCAGGACCAGATGGAATCCCAGCAGAAGCTTTGAAAATAGACCCAGAGACAACAGAGGACTTGATGACGCCACTACTAGAGAAGGTGTGGAAAGAGGGCAAAGTACCCGAGGATTGGAAGAACGGATACTTATTCAAACTGCCAAAGAAAGGAGATTTGAGTCAATGTAAAAACTGGCGTGGAATTATGCTTCTGTCCATTCCAAGCAAGATACTATGTCGCATCATCCTGGAGAGAATTAAACAAGCCCTGGATGAAAAACTTCGTCCGGAACAGGCCGGATTCAGGAGGAACAAGTCATGCATTGACCAAATCGCCACCCTACGGATTATCATTGAACAAAGTTTGGAATGGCAGTCACCTCTCTATCTCAACTTCATCGATTTTGAGAAAGCCTTCGACAGCGTCGATCGAGAGGTGATTTGGCAACTACTTCGCTACTACGGGGTGCCGCCGACAATTATACATCTCATCCAACAGCTGTATGACAACGCTGCATGCCAAGTAATCCACAACGGGAGGCTCACGGAATCCTTCGAAGTGAGGGCGGGAGTGAGACAAGGCTGTCTACTGTCACCAATGATCTTCCTGATTGCAGTTGATTGGATAATGCGGCAGACAACGGCAACCAACGAGGGAACAGGCATAAAATGGACCGACACAAAAGCCTTGGAGGATTTGGATTTCGCCGATGATATATGTCTGATTTCCCACAAACTGGAAGATATGCAAGTGAAAAGCAACAAATTGGCAGAAGAAGCAGCAAAGATAGGACTTCAAGTGAACATAGACAAAACAGAGGTAATGAAGCTTCCTGGCCAACATCAACATCAACAACCGACAACAATCAGCATAAATGGGAGGAACCTGAAGGAAACAACTTCTTTCACCTACCTGGGAAGCATCGTCTCAACTACAGGAGGAACTGACGAGGATATCAAAGCCAGAATCGGAAAAACAAGACAAGTTTTCATTTCTCTCAAGTCTATGTGGAGGTCAACAGCATTCAGCGTCAAAAATAAGATCCGTATTTTCAACTCCAATGTGAAGTCAGTACTACTATACGGATCAGAGACTTGGCGTGTCACAAAGAGCAGCTCAAACAAGCTACAGACCTTCATTAACAAATGCCTTCGCTCAATACTCAAGATCAAATGGCCGGAGAGGATCAGCAACAAAGATCTCTGGGAGCGAACCAACCAGGAACCGATCGTGAAACAAATAGGCAGGAAGAAATGGAGATGGATTGGACACACTCTGAGGAAACCAGCAAGTGACATCACTAGACAAGCCATGCTCGAGTGGAACCCTCAAGGGAAGCGACGAGTTGGTCGTCCAAGGGTGACCTGGAGGAGATCATGTGAAGAGGAATTGAAAGCGTGTGGGCAGACTTGGAGCCAGGTGAAAACTACAGCAGAGAACCGAACGCAATGGAGACGCATGGCTGAAGCCCTATGTTCCTCTAGGAATTAAAGGAAATAATAATAATAATAAGCCCACCCATAGGATATATGACAACAAAACAAAAAGCAGAAATGTATGTCTATTTGAAAAATTTAATCTTTTCCAAGGGTTTTCGTAAAGCCAATACTCCACAGATCCAGCTTCAAGCTAGATGTAGGTGATTTCGGTACTCAATCTGCAGTGGTAAATTAAACCACAAAACTATTGGCCTACGGCATTCATAACTCAACTTTATATGCTGACGTTCATTGTTAAAGTTAGAAGAAGGTTCACAGTCAGGTATCCATGCCATTTGTCACGCCATCGTGTTGAGCTCGTTCGTATATGGTCTCAAGCTGGTTAGGCAATTTTCCTCGCAGCACTTTTTCGATCCCGAAATATATTTATTTTTTTTCTCGCTCAGTATGGTGTTTCTACTTGTCCTTGTTCCGCGCATAACAGACAATGTAGGAGTTATAGTTATAAGAACTTGCGTTAGCATACGTTGTGCTTGGAGTAAAGGCCATCGCTCCCTCATCTCCTGAAAGTTTGTCCACCCCATCACGCAGTCTTGCACAATACTCTAAGGCGTCAGTCAGCCACGCCTCTTGAACGACT